CAGAACGAGGATTCCTGAGTTTCTCGGATTCGGACTGAACCGAGGCGAGTTCTGCCTCCAGCCGCAGAGCAACGCGTGGGAGATGAATTATTAAGAGAATAAGATGTTAAAAAAAAAGTGAGAAATGGCTCCACGAATGAGGCGAAACAAGAAGCTTTGGCAGAACACGGAGCAGCAGCTTGTTCTGTTGTCGGGTTTGATTCGGGTCCAGCGCGATCAAAGAGTTTCCTCTCATCAGAGTCTTTAAAAGTTAATGTGTCGTCTCCGGGGATCGGACGGCTAATTCACATTTAAGCAGAATTACACCAAAGACGTCCTGGAAGTTCTACAGCACGAGAACAAATAATCAGAACCAGACAGAAGAACGTCGACGTTCCAGGTGTCGTGAGTCCGTCGCAGCGTTTAGCAGCAAATTGAATCATTATTTGTACTGAAGACAAACTGCTTTACAGCAAATAAACGGGAATAAAAACCAAATCAAACGGACGATTAAAGGCCGTAAATAAAGCATCAAGGCTACGATATTAAAATTTCACACGGAGCAGTGTCAGAATAAAAAAAACCTCGAAATGAAAAGAGTTCTACGAATGTGGAACCGGAACAGAAAACGGTTCATAAAAACATTATAGATGAACCTCGTCGTCGTAGATTAAAGGTTCCTCCATTAAAATGACTCTAGTATTAATATGATTATAATAAATGATTACATCTGATTTGTCTTCAAATGGTTTTTCTCTTTTCACTGTGAATTTCAGCCTTTTTTAGACAAATCGTGTTAATTTTCCGCATTTCCAACAGTTTTAAAGGTCACATTTTGGCTCCTTTTAAAAAAATAATGAAAGTTTCATGTCTCTGGAATGTTTCTTTAAAAAAAATTAGCAGCTCAAAACGCCACAAAGATGCTTAATGTCATCAANAATAAATCCGGATCTGCAGCATTTCTGGGTCCGTCCTTTAGAACACATTAATGATTTTGGTTTCCATTTCTAAGCGATGGGTTTCTTGCAGAACCTTCCAGGAACCCCGGTTCTTGTGAGCGTGATGAGAGTGAAGCTGTGTTTACTGCAGCCCACTCGCTGCCTTCTGCCGTGTGCAACTTTACATAACTTAGAATACATTTGGACGTACAGCGAGCGGAGCAGCCGAGTTAAAAGTGGCGCTGAGGAGGAGGAAGTCCTGACCGCCGGTTCTGCCGCCGACCTCGTCCTCCGTCCTCCATCGATTCCTGCTTCCTCGAAAAACTGCTTTTTCTTCTTTTTTTTTCTCCTGCAGCTCGACTCGCAAACGTTGATCTGCAGCAGGTAGAGCTGGAGTCCTTCTGCTCGGCTTGGCAGAAGAGAAAGAAAGAAAAGTGATTCAGCTCCAAACACAATAAAATTAGAAATGAATTCTTCCTCAAATTTGCTCGGAGGATCTCCCTCCGTCTCCCCCGTCTCCCCCCGGAGGACAAACTCGGAGGAAA